GCAGGGCTGGGGCTTTGGGAATCTGCCAGATCCTGGGTTCACATTCCAGTTTTGCCTCTGGTTGTTTGGCCTTTAGGAAGTTACCTCACATCTTTGGACCTCAGTTGTCCAGTTTGTAAACTGGGGAAAATAGTAGCCGAGGATCAGAGACCGTGTTCAGCCGGTACTCAACAGCTGGGAGTTATTACTCTGTGTGGGACAGCCAGGGCTGCTCCAATGGCCCACTTCCTGGCACCCCGACGCCAACATGTCTTTGCCAACTCATGTTTTTGCCCACAGAGACCTACGGGATTGTGGCCCAGGCCCATGCTCACGAAGGTTCCATCTTTGCCCTGTGTCTCCGGCGGGACGGGACTGTGCTGAGTGGTGGCGGACGGGACCGCCGGCTGGTCCAGTGGGGGCCAGGATTGGTGGCCCTCCAGGAGGCTGAGGTGAGGGCTAGGCTGGTGTCAGGGGAGGGAGGAGGAAGAGGAATGGCCAGTGGGTCCCTGACTTTTGCTGCCATCCCGCAGATTCCTGAACACTTTGGGGCTGTGCGGGCCATTGCGGAGGGGCTGGGTTCTGAGCTGCTGGTGGGAACCACGAAGAATGCGTTGCTGAGGGGAGATCTGGCCCAGGGCTTCTCCCCTGTAATCCAGGTTGGCCCCCACCATCCCAGGGGTCCAGGGAGGAGGTGGGAGGAGCTACCGAGACGGGGCAGAGGTCACAGCCCATGCTCTGCTGCAGGGCCACACGGATGAGCTCTGGGGGCTCTGCACACATCCCTTCCAGAACCGCTTCCTCACCTGTGGCCACGACCGGCAGCTCTGCCTGTGGGATGGGGAGGGCCATGCACTGGCCTGGAGCATTGACCTCAAGGTAGAGCCCTGTGTTCCTGGCTCCCCAATGCCACACCCACCATGGCTTCTGTGGCCACCACTCCTTCCCTAACATCCTCTTCCCTTCTCCCCGGAGGCAGCCAGTTTGTACTGGTATGGCTAAATGGGCTACTAAAATCTCCGTTCTACTGTGCAGATGCCTCCAGTGCCCCCTGAACACTGCCCCCTTGTCCCTGAGCCCCCAGACCTCCCCCTCGATCCAGCAACAAATGGTTAATTCTCCAGCACAGCTTCCCAGCTCAGTTCTGGTTGTTAAATATGTTGAGTATCACCTCATTTGGGCTCCAGTGACACCCTGCCTCCACCCCAGGTCTACTGTCCCTCTCCTCCCTGTCTCATCCTTGGGAGGAGAAGGCTTTGGTGTTACCAGCATGACGAGGTGTCCATCCGAGAATCTTCACTAGAAAGGCATCTTCTTAAATTCACCTTCTCCCCCCTCCCAGGAGACTGGTCTCTGTGCTGATTTCCACCCCAGTGGGGCAGTTGTGGCTGTAGGACTGAACACAGGGAGGTGAGAGGAGCCCGGATTCCTGGGAGGGGCAAGCAGGAGGTATGGGAAGGCTTCCCCGGTAATGGGGTGTGGGGGGGCAGGGGTGGGGGAGGAGTGTGGCTGCTTCCTCCTCGGGGGCCCCAAATGCACCTCTCCCTCCTCAGTGCTTTTCTCTGCAGCCCGGGCCTCGCCTGCTCTCCTGTGGCAACTGTCATCACACTCAACCACTCTCCCCTCCAAACCCGGGAGTGGAGGAGGTGGCAGCTTAGGATAGAGAAGCAGTGGGGGTGGGAAGGGTTTGGGAGAGACTAACAAAGGGAAGTGCCAGGCTTGCGACTCCATAAGGTCCTCCTTTCTTCGAGGCATCAGAAGCTCCTCAGCCTTTCTCTCTCCTTGGCCCCTTCCCATTTCCTAGCATACGAATTGAGTGTTGGGGGTGCCTGAGGGGTTCCGTTGTTAAGCATCCAACTCTTTGATTTCGGCTCAGGTCATGATCTCATCAGGGTCATGAGATCGAGAGCCCTGTGTGGGCTCTGTGCGACGCATGGAGCCTGCTTAAGGTTCCCTTTCTGCCTCTCCCTCTGCCCCTCTCCCCACTCTCCCTCTCTTAAAAAAACAAAACAAAACAAAACAGTGGTGACTTGTCTACATCACAGCCTTTCTGTCGGTGTCTCTGAGACTCTCCAACTTGCCAATCCCCACCTTGCCCAGGACAGGTAACCTCACACCTGCTTTCCACCCCCTCCCTTCCAGGTGGCTGGTTTTGGACACAGAGACCCGAGAGATTGTGTCGGACATCACTGATGGCAATGAGCAGCTCTCAGTGGTCCGGTATAGCCCAGGTGGGAGCCACCCCCTACCCCGGTCCTAGACCTGTCCCTGGCCCTTCCCTCTCTGAGTGAGTGTCTTTGTAGATGGGTTGTACCTGGCCATCGGTTCCCATGACAACATGATCTACATCTATAGCGTTTCCAGTGATGGGGCCAAGTCCAGCCGCTTTGGCCGCTGTGTGGTGAGGAGGCTGGGCTGGAGGGTGGGGCATTGCCATAGCAGGTAAACTCCTTGAAGGGGGTCTCATGCACTAAGGGGGATGTGAAGAGGGGAAACAGTATCTACATTTTTAGTCTCTTGACCCTTTCTCCTAGGGTCACTCCAGCTTCATCACTCACCTTGACTGGTCCAAGGATGGGAGTTTCATCATGTCCAATTCTGGGGACTATGAGATCCTTTACTGTGAGTGGAAGGAAGAGAGAGCATGGGGAATGGGTAACCTGGTGGGTTTTATTTGTTTGGTGGGGGGTGCTCCTGGTTGGGAGTGGTTGAAGGAGAGTAGGTAGAGGGGCTGTTACTTAGAGAGGGGGAGATGGGTTGGAATTGTACAGAGGAGAAACACTATGATTTGGGATTCCCCCCCCACCCCAGTTTGACACGTCTTTCCCCATGAGGACTTGAGGGAGTTGAAAAATGTACTAGGAAGAGGTTGTTTTGGACAAGTTTGTCAGGGCAGGTGTGGAGGGATTGACTTATCTAGGGAGGAGGAACTGATGAGAAGCTGTCAGGAGAACTTGAGCAAGAATTCAGGAAGCACATGGGGCTAAGTTTTGTCCTGGGCTGAGGGCTGCTACCACGGTGACCAGATCACACGCAGGTCTTTCCAGCCTGCCTGTCTCGGTGTCTTCCCCACCGAGGGCTGGGTTAGAGCGGAGCTGGGTGGGCCCCTCTGTCCAGGGGATGTGGTTGGAGGCTGCAAACTGCTGAGGAATCGCTACGACAGCCGAGACCGGGAGTGGGCCACTTACACCTGCGTGCTGGGCTTCCACGTCTATGGTGAGCAGGGCCTTGGAACCTTGAGGGAGGGGTGGGGGGGGTCGGGGGCAAGGTGGAGCCCGCCCTGGGCTCGGAATGCGGGGCATGTGTCGAGGGATGGGCGTCGAGAAACCAGCAGATCCAGCCCTGGAGGCCCCTCAGGCCCTGGGCTGTCGGGACTGGGAAGGATTGCCTGGAACGCGGCCGGTGGGTGGCCACGGCTGCCTGAGCTCCGGAAACGGTGCGGCCCTGGGCCGTGGGTGGCCAAGGAGCGAGGCCTCACTAAGGCGGGCCGCCGTCCTAGGCGTGTGGCCAGATGGCTCGGATGGCACCGACATCAACTCCCTGTGCCGCTCCCACAACGAGCGCGTGGTGGCCGTGGCCGACGACTTCTGCAAAGTGCACCTGTTCCAGTACCCGTGCGCGCGCGCCAAGGTGAGGCCTCCTGGGGCCTCTGGGGCCGGGCGGGCCGGACAGGCCCGGGGCTCCGGGGCCTCCGCAACTCGGTCTTCCCTCCCGCCCAGGCGCCGAGCCTCGTGTACGGCGGCCACGGCAGCCACGTGACCAGCGTCCGGTTCACGCACGACGACTCGCACCTCATCTCGCTGGGGGGCAAGGACGCCAGCATCTTCCAATGGCGAGTGCTGGGCGCTGGGGGCTCGGGGCCGGCGCCCGCCACGCCCTCTCGAACCCCCTCCCTGTCCCCCGCCTCCTCTCTCGACGTCTGACCAATGCGGGAGGGGACCCACCGGCCCTGCGGCGCGGCTCCGCCCCACCCGAAACCCCTAGGACCAGGGGCCGACCTTTCCTGGACTTCGAGACATTCCCGATTGCGCGTTTCCCTGGAGGGGGCGAATGGCACCCCTGCACACACTGTAGAGACCCGCTGGCCGAGCCGGGCAGCCCCAGCCTGGGCCCTGACTCCCGCCGCCTGCTGAGGGGCAATAAACCAAAAGCAAAGTCGCCTCCCAGTCCTTTTGTGGGGCTCGGCTGGGCGCCTCCAGGGCCCTGTGGGGGTGGCGATGAAGAAAAAGAGGAGTTTGGAAAGGGTAGGGGAGCGTAGGCCACTCATGCAAATAACAGGCAAAGCCGCTTGCAAATAACCCAGCGGAGCGCAAACGCGCGCGAGTCCTTCGGGACGGCAGGCGGAGCAGCAGGCGGAGCAGCGGGGCTCGGGCGAGGAGAGAGTTAAACCCAACTCTTCTCCCGCCCTCGGAGGAGGGGCCGAGTTGCAACGGAAATAACCGAGCGCCGGGCCGCGGTTGGCCGGAGGGAGCCGAATCTCTTCCGGAAGTAGCCGAGCTCTGGGGTCTCGCTCTCCGACCTGAGCCGAGCGCCGGGCCTTGTTCTCCGGATCGGCCGAAGGTGTTCCGGAAGGAGGCGAACCCCGAGGCGGGCAGGGCAAGCCTTCCCGGCGGCCGGCAGAGCCCTACGTCTGGTGGGGCTTGGCGAGGGCGGCGGGGGGGCGGGGGAGCCGGAGCCTGGCTCCGGTCCGGCGGGAGCCGAGCTCGTTCCGGAAGAGGCCGAGCGGACCGGCGCTGGCCTCGGCGTCCCGGGCGTGAGGCGGTAGCGGCGGCGGCGACAGCGCGGGCCGGGATGAACCGCGACGGCTGAGGCAGCGGAGGTGCCGGCTGCGCGGGCCCGACCGAGACTTCCGCGAAGCGCCAGCCCCGCGCTCGGGGCTTCGCCTCGAGCCGAGCCTTGCCCCCGCGAGCCTCCCGGACCCCTTTGTGCGGCCGGAGGCGGCGGCGGGAACGGCCATGGCGGCCAACATGTACCGGGTGGGGGGTGAGTACCGGGCGCAGGGGCTGCGGGGCCCGCGGCGGGAGAGGTCGGGGTCCGGGGCCGGAGAGGCTCGGCACCCGGCAGCGCGGGGAGCCGCACCTGGGGCGGCGTGGTCCCGAGCGCGGACCGGAACCGGAACCGGAACCGGGAACACCGGGAGCGAGGGTGCGGGGCCGGCAACGCGCGGCGGGGCGCCGCGGCTCCCGGAGAGGCTGCGGGCAGCCCCGACGGCACTCTCAGGCTCGCGTCGGGGGCCCCTGGGTCGGGGAGTGGGGCCTGGGAAAGTGATTCCGAAGGAACTGACAGGGCACGCAGGGGGCGCGGGGGGGCCGAGGCGACCGCTCTGCCACCTGAGCGGGAACCGACGGGAGGTTTCCTCCTCCCCGCCCCCCCGGTCGTTATTGTGCGCCTGGGATCTAAAAGGTGCGGACCCTGCGCTAGAGTCAGTAACAATTGCTCTCTTGGCCGAGACTGGGGTGCAACTCCACCGTTGAGTTGTGGGGACTGCGGGGGGGGGCCCTGCTTCTCGTCTCTTAAGGCTCACTTTTGAGTGAAGGATTTGATAAAAGAACTAGGTGGTCACGGGTGGTGGTGGGGGAACCCCTTGTTTTCTGGTAGTCTCTCCACTTCCACATTTCAGGCTCCTCGCTACCTGGACCCTTATCCTTTGGTCCTCTCAGGCCTACTTTTTCGCCTACCCTGGTGCTCAGTCTTTCCCATCTCCTCCTCTGATCTTCCCGATGCTTCCCCACCTCCTCCTACAGATTACGTCTATTTTGAAAATTCTTCTAGCAATCCTTACCTGGTTAGACGGATTGAGGAGCTCAACAAGGTGAGTGGAGCAGAGCCCCACCTCTGTCCTGTCCTGCCTCCCCATCCCCCCTTGGGGGGGGTCTTTTTCTTCTGAGGTCACTAACTTCATGTGGAAGCCAAGGGGGTGGGGGCGGGGAACCAACGCGATCCTAAGTGCCCATTCATATTCATTCATTCATTCATTGGATGTATTCAGGAAAGGTTTAGAGAGTTGGGTGGGAACGTAACTATTCTATCTCTGGGGGGTCTAAGGAGAGGGAAAGTGTGGGGGAAAAAAAGTTCAGAAGTCTGTCCATAAGCATAAGTCTCTTTATTCATAATTTTTCGGGTCTTTCTATTTACACCTCTTAGAACCTTATTCACGGTGGTTAGTTTCTTCTTTATGAGTCTGCACTTTAAAATGACCAATTTTAACTGCCATTTTTTTTTTTTTTATCCCCTTAGACTGCAAACGGAAACGTGGAGGCAAAGGTTGTGTGCCTTTTCCGGCGAAGGGACATTTCTAGTAGCCTCAACAGCCTGGCGGATAGCAATGCCAGTGAGTGTCTGTGCACCCTCACCTCACCCTAACCCCCCCCCCATGATCTGAGGCCCAGGCATGTCCCTGCAGGTGTTTCCCCTGGTAGCATGCCCAAAAGCAGGGGTGTGAGTTTGGGGGTGGGAAATGCCTGGTCTGCGGAGGGAGGCCTGTTTTTACACGTTGGGGTTGGAAGCAGGGTGGAGAGACCATGATAAGGAAAGCCAGAAAATGGCTTGTGTGTGACTGTGTATCTGAATGATGGGTGTAAAAGTGATGATAGTATTTAAATAGGGGATGGGGAAGGGGTTTAGAGAAGCAGGACCCTTGGGGGACAGTTTTGGGTACATTGGGACAGTGAGTGCTGATTGTAAAGGTCAAGGTTGAAGAGGAAGAGCTTGTACTTAGAAGCCTGCGTAATAGGGAAACAGCCTAATTTTGTGATCACGAGGTAGTGAGAATACATTGAAGGGAGAGAATAGGAAGCTAGGAAAGTTTTCTTGCCCTTTTTCCTCAGCTGTTCTGTCTTCTCACCACTCCATTTTACATCTTTGCCTTTTGCCTTATTTTCCCCTCTCTTTATGCTTTCATCTTCCTTTAAAAAACATATTTCCTTCTGTTTTCTTTAGTTTCTTTTTTTCTTTCCTTGTTTGGTTTTCTTTCTTTCTTCCTCGTGTTCCTCCTTCTGAAATTATTTTCCTTATTTCAGGCAGCTTTGGGCATGAAGGGGTTAAGGAGGAGCTAGGCCTACCAAGTTCTCTGGCCCTCTGGGGTTTACAGCCCCATCTGGCAGGGGCTGACCTTGGCCTTGTCCAATCAGAGGGGGTGGGGGGGTGTGGTCCCCCCTTGCCTTAGCACAGGGGTTTCCGGAGCACACAGGCGAGGGGTGGAGCCTGCTGCACACCCCCCCCCTTCTCCCTGAGGTTGGGAACAATGCACCAATGAGCCTGGGCCTGTGGCTGTCCTGCCCCCTCCTGGTTTGGTTGGCCCCCAGCCAAGTTAACCCTTTCCACCAAGGTTTCAGGGCAGAGTTGCAGTGCCTGGGGAAGAAGGTGTTGGCCCTGGCTTGAGAGGTACTGGCCTTGGAAGCCCCACAAACTTATCATTAGCCAAGTGGACAGTGAAGGGTAGTTAGGGTTGCATGATGTTTAAGAGGAAAGACGGCCCTGAAATCTGAAAAGAACTGGTAAGCACAACCTTGTGTGATGATTTTTCACCTTGTTGGGTTTCTGGACCTCAGGCTGGTTTAGCAAGAGAGACAAGTGTGATATTCTTGTCGGGCCTCGTGTGGGCAGATTTGTGCTTTCTGAGTGGCTTCTGAGCATTGGCGCCTGGGTTTGGGATGGGTTTCTGTGGCATTCTATGCACTCTCAGCAGCTCTTCCCAAAACGTTAGCGATGGGGAGTTGGAGCGCTGTGATGGGGAAGAGGGCTAAGTGGGAAAGCTGGTGGACTAAAGCTGTGAGAGGCAGGTGCCTGGGGAATGCGGAGAAACCAGCTGGTAAATAGAAGGTGTTTTCCCTGGGTTAGAGTTTCCAGGGTGGCTTCTTTCTGAATTAGTTTCTGACTTGGCTTCTTCCTCCTTCGTCTCCCAGGGGAGTTTGAGGAAGAATCAAAGCAGCCAGGGGTATCAGAGCAGCAGCGACATCAGCTGAAGCACCGGGAGCTTTTTCTTTCTCGGCAGTTTGAATCGTTACCAGCCACACACATACGGTACGGGATGATCCGGGCCACTGTGGTCTGCGTGCACTTGTTCAGAAGATGGGGGGGATGTATTGGAGATGCTGTGGAGAGGGAACGAGGAGCTCACCCAGGTTTTTCGGACCTCTTTTCTGTAGGGGGAAATGCAGTGTGACCCTCTTGAATGAGACGGACATCTTGAGCCAATACCTGGAAAAGGAGGTGAGAAAGAGGTGCTGGGAGAAGGAGGAGGGGGTGGGTATGCCCAACGAGGCCAGAGGAAAGTAGAACTGTGACGGGGTATAGGTTGACAGACTGCCTGTTTTGGGAACTCTGGGTCTTCCGCACTGCCCTCTGCCTCTGAGGACTGCCGCCTGCTAACCTTTTCTTCCCATCTCCAGGACTGCTTTTTTTACTCACTGGTGTTTGATCCTGTGCAGAAGACACTTCTAGCTGATCAGGGGGAGATCAGAGTTGGTTGCAAATACCAAGCTGAGATCCCAGATCGCCTGGCAGAGGGTAAGCAACAGGACAGACCATACGGCTGCTGGGTCACGGAACACAGTAGTGTCTGTGAATGGTGTGCCGTGGAGTTGTTTGCTGCGCTGTCTTCATGACTCTCTGCTGCCACCCTGATGGGATGGGACTCTGGGAACCTGAGAGGGGCAGTTGGGCACAGTTGGGAGGAGAAGTTTGAGAGTTGAGAGGGCTGACAGAATCCGAGTGGGAGACAAGGAGGAACAAGGTGCTGTTGTGTCAAGACACTTACCCTCCTTTCCCTGTCCCTGATGTTGCCATCACCCTGTTCCCCAGGGGAATCCGATAATCGGAACCAACAGAAGATGGAGATGAAGGTCTGGGACCCAGACAACCCTCTCACAGACCGGCAGATTGATCAGTTTCTCGTGGTGGCCCGGTGAGGGGTGGGTGGATGGGGAAGATGGGCTGGGGGCGGTGTGGACATCTTGCATCGAATTCTCAGAGGTGGGCTTGATTTTTTTTTTTTTTCTTGGCATGGGTGTTTTCCTTATTTGGCTTGGTTCCTCAGCCCACTCATGCCGCCTTCTTTCCCTCTTAACTTCTCAATCTCTCCCTCAGAGCTGTGGGCACCTTTGCAAGAGCCTTGGATTGCAGCAGCTCCATTCGGCAGCCAAGCCTGCACATGAGCGCGGCCGCTGCCTCCCGAGATATCACGCTGGTGAGCAGATGCGGCTGTGCAGTCAGACATTCTGGGCTCCGTGGGGACCTGCAGAGCCCTGGGACAGGAGAGGAAGGGTCTCCGAGGGCATGGTGCAGAGGGGCTTGGGTCATCAGCGTTGTTTCCTACCTTCCCTGTAGTTCCATGCGATGGATACGTTGCAGAGGAATGGCTATGACTTGGCTAAAGCCATGTCTACCCTGGTGCCCCAGGGGGGCCCGGTGCTGTGTCGGGATGAGATGGAGGAGTGGTCTGCCTCCGAGGCCATGTTGTTTGAGGAGGCCCTGGAGAAGTACGGGAAGGATTTCAATGATATTCGCCAGGACTTCGTAAGTGGATGGGGCTGGGTGGAGAGGTGGAAGAGATGACAGGTGAGGGAACCAGGACCTGGGGCCAGATGCCAGCTCTGCTTCTTTCCTCTGTCTCCTTAGCTGCCTTGGAAGTCACTCGCCAGTATAGTCCAGTTTTATTACATGTGGAAAACCACAGACCGCTATATTCAGCAGGTACGGGCTGGGCTGGGAAGGCTGGACCAGGGGCCTCCTGCTCACCTCTGCCTTTGGGAGTTGATGACATCCTCCTGCAGAGATGCTCTGATCCGCCTCTTCCTTTCTTTTTTCCCTTCCTGCAGAAAAGATTGAAAGCTGCTGAAGCAGACAGCAAACTAAAACAAGTCTATATCCCTACCTAGTAAGTGTGGTAGGTGGGGGAGGCTGGTGCATTCTTTTTCTTTCTTTCTCCTCCAGCTCATGCTTTTCTCAGAGATTGGCGGTGGGCGGGAGTCAGGGTCAAAGAGTCAAATGATGATAGACACGAGGTGGAAATGGGATTCTCTTCTTTGACCAGTTCCTGGTTTCTCCCCACACTGTTCCCATTAGTACTAAGCCAAATCCTAACCAGATCATCTCTGTGGGCTCGAAACCCGGCATGAATGGGGCTGGATTCCAGAAGGGCCTGACTTGCGAGAGCTGCCACAGTGAGTTCCAGGGAAGGATAGGGATGTTGGGGGTGGGTAAGGTCTTCTCTGGCCCAAGGACCTGAGGGGCTCAGGTGACATATTCTTCCCAAACTCCCCCCTTCTCTCCATGCTCCTGCAGCCACACAGTCTGCCCAGTGGTACGCCTGGGGCCCACCCAACATGCAGTGCCGGCTCTGTGCTTCCTGTTGGATCTACTGGAAGAAGTATGGGGGGCTGAAGACCCCGACCCAGCTTGAGGGAGCTGCTCGGGGCACAACAGTAAGGACTGATGGGGAGCAGGCCGGGGAGAGCAGTTAAGCATATTGATGGGAGCTTTAGGTGAAAGCCAGAACACCCAACCCCTTAAATGGTGATGGTTTGGTGATGGTTTGATGTGCATGTGAGTGGGGAGGGGGTGCTCGATGGTGGTTGGAGAGACGGGGAGGTCGGGATGGCAGTAAAGAGATCAGGCAGGAATAAATTGCTTTTTATGGAGAATGGAAGAAAGAAGAGCCCCAGTGTCCATCTGGGCTCTCCTTTTTCCCATGTCTTTCTTCCAGGAGCCACACTCGAGGGGTCATTTGTCTAGACCTGAAGCCCAGAGTCTCTCTCCCTATACGACCAGCGCCAACCGGGCCAAGCTGCTGGCTAAGAACAGGCAAACATTCCTGCTCCAGACCACAAAGCTGACCCGTCTGGCCAGACGCATGTGCAGGGACCTGTTACAGCCGAGGAGGGCTGCCCGACGACCCTATGCCCCTATCAATGCCAATGCCATCAAGGCGGAGTGTAAGGGCAGGAGTGGTGGGGCTAGTGGCAGGTCGGGATGCTCTGGCCAGAAAGCAGAGCGCAGACCAGTGTTTCTCTGGAGGTCTAATGACAGCAGGGATGGCAGGCCACAGTGCTTGGGAAGGCGAGTAGATGTGGCTCCTGGCCATAGGAGAGGCCTGAATAGCGAAGCCCCTTCAAGAATTTTCTTCTTTGTTCTCTAGGCTCCATTCGACTTCCTAAGGCTGCGAAGACTCCATTGAAGATTCATCCTCTGGTGCGGCTGCCGCTGGCAACCATCGTCAAAGATTTGGGTAGGGGACGGAACTGGTCAGGTGGTGTCAGGTTCTCTGTCATCCTTTCACCGTCAAAGTCCAACGAGATTTAGTCTAACAGCCTGTGCTTTTGTTCATTAATAACAGTTCTCATAAGCTACCCGTAATGAATGATAAGATCACACTCATGTGCTAATTGCTTGCCAGACCCCTCTCCCCATCACTGCTTTTGGGGATGCCCGGGGAAACTACATAGAGAAGAGAAAGCATGAAAGTTCTCTAAGTTTTCTCTTATGTTTTCCTTGGTAGTGGCCCAGGCGCCTCTGAAACCAAAAACACCTCGGGGTACCAAGACGCCGATCAATAGAAACCAGCTGACCCAGAACCGGGGTCTGGGGGGCATTATGGTGAAACGGGCCTATGAAACTGTGAGTTGACAGCTGGAGTGAGCCAGACTGATTGGGTGGGCTTTTATTTCTGATTGGAATCTGTGAGTCCTCTCTCATTGTGCTATCCCCCCACCCCCCCACTTTCCAGATGGCAGGAGCGGGGGTCCCCTTCTCTGCCAATGGAAGGCCTTTGGCCTCAGGGATTCGCTCCAGCTCACAGCCAGCAGCCAAGCGTCAAAAACTAAACCCAGCTGATGCCCCCAATCCGGTGGTGTTTGTGGCCACAAAGGATACCAGGTAGGGAGGCCACCATGGGAGGGGCTGAGAGGTTGACAGCCCAGATTGGTGGGTAAGGATAATACCAGTTCTGAGTGAGACCAGCTCCAGGAGGACTGGGTGCGGGATGGGGATGTCAGGAAAGAATGGGCCAGAAGGCAGAACTGGAGTATGAAATCTGGGGTTTCACCTCAAGAGTCTTATTAGCCTTTTTCATTCCACTCTTCTTTTCCTGGCCAGGGCCCTGCGGAAGGCTCTGACCCATCTGGAAATGCGGCGAGCTGCCCGCCGGCCCAACTTGCCCCTGAAGGTGAAGCCACCACTGATTGCAGTGCGGCCCCCAGTCCCACTGTCTGCACCCTCACATCCTGCCAGCACCAACGAGCCCATTGTCCTGGAGGATTGAGCGTCTGTGGGGGAAGGGAGGTGGGCTGAAAGCTAGAGGGTGGGTGCCCAGGGCATCCAACCTCCCTTCCTTCTAGTATCAAAGGGAATGAGGAGTGAGTGAGGGAGGGAGCAAGTGAGTGTGTGTCCTTGGAGGGGTTGGGCGCCCTCTGGTGTTACCACTTGGAGGCTTGTCCCTTTCCCACGCTTCTCCACACCTGGTGGTGGAAGGCACACTGCAGGAACTTGACCCATTGTGGGAACCTAGCCTGTTTTGGGGGGTAGGACCCACAGTTGTCTTGGACAGTTTTGGGGGGAGGGTTTTTTAATTTTTTAAAAATTTTGCCTCCCTTTGTGAAAGGGGATGGGGGAGGGGGAAGAGTAAATGGATAGGAGGTGGTGGTTGGGGGAGGGGGACGTGCACTGCCATGACTGCCATGTCTATCTTTTTTTTCTAATGGGGGTTTTTCTTCCTGTCCGGTGTCCGGACTTTCCTAATTGGAGTTTGAGGCCCCTAAGCCTAAGCTGGCATCAACCCCAGCCCATGCTCTCTCTTTTCCTTCCCTCCCTGTGCCCCCTCCGCCTTTTGTACGCCAATTCTCAGAAATAAAGATCTTTTGTCCGTTTTTTTAACCTCGGATTCTGTAATTGGTTCTTTAGTAACAAATAAAAAGCTGTTTTCTTCAGCTTCTCCTGGCTCAGCTGTTCTCTGCTGTGGGGGGTGGGGAGGGGAGAGGGCGGTGTCTGCAATTGGGAAAATAAAGGACAACGGATCATGAAGGAGGTACAGATGGGACTTCCCAAGAACAGCTTTAGGAGACAGGCAGCCTGTTCCAGCTAGCTTTTTCCTGTGACTCAAACTGCTTCCCAGATCCCTGTGGTGCTGGAACCCAAGCTCCTCTTGATACACAGAGATTTGTTCAGAGCAGCTGGAATGAGAGGACTTTGGATGGTTGGTGGCTTCCACAGGAAGGGAAGTGTGAAGGTGCTTTTCTTTCTACTTCCCAACACTTACTCATCTCAGAAAATTCTGGGAGTTGCTAGAGACCAGGGCAAGATGCAGCCTATCTTGGGGGGGGTACTGCAGTCTCTTACCACCCAGCTCTGTGGTGTATTTGCACAGATTGCTGCTCAAGGATTCCCGAGACCAGCCTCAGCACCTGCCTTGATAGTGGGGCCCACTCTAGAACCGTCTCCTGCTTTCTTGGTTTTGGGAAACAGAAGCCTGAGCAGGTAATGTAATGTAATGTAGGTGAAGTTAAACTTACTCTGTGTTCCTTCTGCACTTCCTTCCCTGTAGGGCAACAGCCTCAGCAGTTGGGAATTGTTTAAGGTTATAGACCTTCAAGTGTTTGCCTTTGGTCAGGTGTGCTTTTTACAGTCCAGAGTTGTGGGCCGATAACCACAGCAGGAGCTACTTAGCCCTTCTGAGTCATCTCCATCCCGTTCTCTGCCCCTGGGGGCTCCACAGCCCCTTCACTCTCCCCATTCCGAGCTTACACCTGGGCAGTATCAGGAGGAACTGACCACTTATACCCGTCTGGGGAAAGCAGCATATCCTCTGAACGATATCCTCACTCCGCTGCAATGAAGGCATAGTGAGTCCCACCGCATACCTTGAAGTGGGCCGGTGCCTCTGGACATAGGAAGGCGGTAGTAGGCCCCACCGCATGCCTTGGGTGGGCCGGTGACTCCGGCGCCCACTCTTGCGGAAGGAAAGCCTGACTCACGGGGCCGCAGAGATCTGGCTGTGGCTGAGTGGAGTCTGGGAGGCGCCCAGTGGGGTAATAGCTCCCTAACCGGGCTGGGAAGTGGTCGCAGAGCACCCATTTGGAGGGCAGAGAGAGAGCAGCAGCCCTAAGGAACTCGGGAGTCCAGGGACAGCCTTGAGCTTCGTGAAGTCTGCTCATCCTCCGCCTTTATTCGCCGGGTAAATACGGGTTTGAGGATGGAGCGCCGCGGGTGCCTATCGCCCCTAGAGGGAAGATACCTGCGGAATCGCCCCCTAACCGAGCAGCAGGGAAACAGCAGGTTGACTTCAAAGGGCCCCGGTGCCGGCATTTGTGGTCGCCTTCATGAATATTCATGATTCGTTGGGCCAATCAACGCCTGAATGGCTCAGAGCACACCAATCGGCTTACAGCATGCAGATAAGTATCAAAGATGGGCGGCTTTTCCTGAAGCTGGTGGAAGAGACTTAACGGGGATGAAAGCGGAACCCTGAGTCGAAGGAGCTGTTTCCGGAGGAGTGTGCCTGCTCGATGGTCGATACTACGTCACTTCCTATGAGCTGGCGGAAGTTGCTTCGGAGCGCTTTGCGATTTGTAGGCGTGAGTTCCGGCGGTAGCAGAACGGGTTGTGTATTGTCGGTACTGGAGAGTCGCGATGGCGGCATTGGATTCGGATGTCCAATCGTTGCCCCGTGGGGGTTTCCGCTGCTGCCTCTGCCACGTTACTACAGCCAACCGTAAGCGGTGGCTTGTGAGGGGGTGGTTGTGAGTTCTTGTCTGTGGGTCCTAGCGAAAGTTAGGGTTATAGGTCATAGTTCTTGACAAGTCGTTTGGTAGGGTCACTCGTCTCCGTTTTCACTCCGCCTGTACAAGGGATTGGAGAGTGGCGGAAGTCCCACCACTTTACCCCCTCCTTCCTAGTATCCGAAATCTCCACAACGAAAATTTCATTATCTTATTCCCTCTTAAACTGTCATCTGTCGGACGCCACCTTTGTGTCTGGTACTCTGCTGGGCTCTCGGGTGGGGTGAGGGGATTCAGAGATGAAGGAGCCCACCATTGAGAGGTGGAGACAATTGCAATGCTCAATAGATATGTTTGGAGAGCTGTAGGATCACAGAGAAAGTAGTAATTAACGAAGGGAAGCCTTACAGAGGAGCTTACCCAAAGGCAGGAGTATACGAAGGAGCATGGCATGCATGAGTAGGAGGTGGGTTTGGCAAAGTAGACAGGGTTCTTGTGTGACAGCGCAGGGAACTCCATGAAACCTCAAATTCTTCTTCTTCTTTAAAGATGTATTTGTTTTTGAGAGTGAGCGTGCACAGGTTGGCGGGGGGGAGGCAAATGGAGAAGCAGGCTTTGAGCGCCATGCAGGACTCAATCCCAGGACCCTGGGATCATGACCTGAGTCGAAGACAGATGCTTAGCCGACTGGGCCACCCAGACGCCCTCTAATTCCACTTCTGAAGTCTGGAATCCTGATCTTCCCTAAACAAGATATTCTGTTCTTTTTTTTGTGAATGGCGTTATCACTATTTGTCCCCTGAGGCAAGCCAAAAATCCAGCATAGTCTTCCCTGGTCCAACATATACATTGGTGACAATAAACAGCTGACCCAGAATTTAATAAAAATAATAATTGCTAACTTTTCCCATGTTCAACATGTTATCAGACTGTGCCAGGTACTCTATATTTTATAAGACCCTTGTGGTAAGTACTATTAATATCTTCAATTTGTGACCCAGGACACTGATGCACAGAGATTAAGTAACTTGCCCAAGATTTCACACAGTTTACCAGACCTGGGATTTAAACTTGGGCAGTGTGACCTCAAATTATGCACTTGCAATCTCTGTACCATACCTAGAGACCATCCTTGAGGGAGTAGTCTAGGGTCTTGCTTTGTTTAGTTCTTCTGTATATGATCGGGCTAAGTTTCCTGTTAATTTTTTTTTTTTTTTATAATTTGCAGCTGTTGCTCTACCTAGTACTTAGAGATGGTTTAAAAAAAACTTGTAGCTAGTTCTCCTGGGGACCACTTAGAATATCTTATATAGGCAAATGGACAAGAGAGGAAGGTGAAAAGAGCCAGGACTTTGTATATTCAAAGGTCACACTTTCTGTGGCTTGGAAGGATTAGTAGGAGTTAGGAGTGCATTTAGGTAAATCCAGCATGTAAGTACACTGAAGAGTGATTTGGATATTTTTGTTTTGCGATTATCTTTGCAGGACCCAGCCTAGATGCCCATTTGGGGGGCCGGAAGCACCGGCACCTGGTAGAACTACGAGCTGCCCGAAAGGCCCAGGGACTCCGAAGTGTGTTTGTCAGTGGCTTTCCCCGGGATGTGGATTCTGCTCAGCTCACTCAGTACTTCCAGGCATTTGGACCCGTGGCCAGTGTTGTCATGGACAAGGACAAGGTAGAGTGAATGGCTCTTGGGGTAAAGAATGAGTCCAGTGTGCCACATCCAAAAAGAAATGAGAGAGAAACCAGCAGCCCTGTTTCAGCTGGTGCCTTGTGGGGCCTTTCCTTGATGGACACCACAGTACTTGGACCAGTCCAGCTTTGTGAGCTGAGAGAGGGGGAAAGAGAGAGAGGGAGAGAGAATCTTAAGCAGACTCCACACTGAGCATGGAGCCTGACATGGAGCTCGATCTCATGACCCTGAGATCATGACCTGAGCTGAAACCAAGAGTCGGGTGCTTAACTGACGGAGCCACCCAGCTGCCTAAGAGCTATGTTTTCCATAGTGAATGGGATGGATGTGGCCCATGCAGGGTCAGAGCTCATCGTCTAGTGAATAAAGTAGACAGTTAAATGAGTATTACAATGAAGTAGGTGCTTTAAGGCCACAGCCTCGGGAGATCTATCCTAACCCCACAAGGGACTGGTTTATAAACCAGCTAGCAGTTTATTAACTTAGAGTGAGAGGTATTGAAATTAGTTGGTCAAATTACCCTGTCTTCTGGACAGTGCTAGACAAATAAGCTGCTTCTTTATAGTTCTTTTGGTCTTCCACGCAGGTGGTTTCTCGGTTTCTGTTTAGTTCTTTGGAAGAAGTTCATTGTTGTATTGCTCTGTTGTGTCATCATATTATAGTTCTGAGACTGTGCTCTGGTTGTGTAGGCGTGGCTTAGGTGACTCCAAATGGCTTTGGTAGCCCACGTCTTCTCTTAGGCCGGGCTGGGTGTGTTTTTCTTAGAGCTCACATTCGGCAATTGACCCACAGAGGCTTTACCAAAAGGGGTTTAATTGTTCTCCTTAACAAGAAGTCCAGTCCTGGGCAGTCCAGCACTTTACAGTTTTCCTGCTCTGTCGTTATTGGCACCTGGCTCTCTCTTCCTAGTTGTGATAATGCTGTTTGCACATCTTCAGATAAGAGAAAGGGGCAGTCCAAAGGATAGAATATAAAAGGCTAGTGCTGTCTTCCCCTGCTTTGCTTTACTTTCCAGGAAAATATCTTTCTCAGGGCCCTCTTCATTAGACTTTTCATTGGCCTGGATTCTATCACATGGTTACCCCTAGCTGCAGGCAAGCCTGGGAAATGAAGTTCTTTAAGCTGGACACCTTGCCCTTCTGAACCTTTGGGACTCTGTTAATAAGAAAGAAAGGCAAAATATATATTGGGAGGGCAGTTGGCAATGAATGCCCCAGATTCCTTTTTCAGAAAACTCAGTATCCCTGTTTTTGTTTGTATTTGTTTCAGTTGTAGAGAATGACCTTTTTTTTTTTTAAGATTTTTATTTATTTATTTGACAGAGATCACAAGTAGGCAGAGAGGCAGGCAGAGAGAGAAGGAGGGGAAGCAGGCCCCTTGCTGAGCAGAGAGCCCGATGCGGGGCTCGAACCCAGGACCCTGGGATCATGACCTGAGCCGAAGGCAGAGGCTTTAACCCACTGAGCCATCCAGGTGCCCTGAGAATGACCTTTTTTTCTGAACTTAAACCCCATCTTTCTGA